GGGGTGGCGGGCTAGGGCCTGCGGGAGCCAGAGGCGGGAGGCTCCCTGCCAGGCTCCTGTTACTTAGGAGGAACTCCTCTTTAAATAGCTCCGGAGACCTCTGGAGGTCGTAGGAGCATTCCCTCACCCTCCCCGCTGCCTGGGGTCTTGGTGACCGCCTTTCTGAGAACTGATAGGGCATGGAGCCTTCTGTCTACCTGCTTTGGTAGAAGGTGGGACCGCCCAAGGCAGGCGGGCGTGAGTGCCTTCCCTTGGGAGAGCTTTTCCAGGTCAGTCGCCCGGACCTTGAGCTCTGCCCCCAGGGGCTCCCCCTCTCCCCAGCTACACCCCGACCCTCCACGCACTTTCCCTCCTGGCTCCAGTCCAGCTGCCTGGAGGGCAGGAATGACAGGTTGCCTGCCCTCAGAGAGGACTATTGGACTGTTTCAAAGAATATATGTGGCCCCCCCTTTCTCCGTCCCCTTCAATCTGGACCCTATCTCCCCACCCCCTCCCCCTCCACCCAGATGACAGCTCCCTGACAGCTTCTTGGCAAGGGGCCTCCTCCCCATCCGCATCCCTGAAAACTTGTTCTTCCCCATATTTCTGAGCCAGGCTGCCCAAGACGTGAGTGTGCATTCCCTGTCACCAAGGAGCAAGCCTGTCAGGGTGCCACTGTGTCCCAGCCACCATCCCCGCCCTCAGGGGACTTCCAGTGGAAGGAGGGGAAAGAACAAAAGTGCCAGGTGCTGCAGTGCGTAGTTGCACCCCCACCCGGAGACAGGAGGTCTTGAGCTGGGCGGAGGGGGCTAAATCAGGGAGGTTCCTCAAAGAGATGGTTCTCGAAGGGTCAGAGAGGAGGAGCTCTGACCTTCTGTCACCCCGTCCTCAAGCACCCTCAGGAGAGTCCTCCAAGCTGGATCAGTGGGCTAGGGTTTTGAGAATTTTTGAGGCAAGTGATCTAAAAATGTGGAAATCTTCTAGCCACTAATGCATTCCTCAAGCACTTTTTCTGTCTGGGGTGTGGAACCCTCCTGATGTTCTTTAGAGGAAAGCCGAGGGTGGAGGGAGGGAATCACATAGTGGGGGAGGTTCTAATCCTGGCTTTGAGAAACACATTGTCTGTGACCTTGGGCTATGCATTCTACCTCTCTGGGCCCAGTTCTTCAGCTGTGAAATGGCTTGTGTCTCCTGAGGATCCTTCAGACTCTCAGCAGGACTCTCAGCAGGGTCGTAGGGAGGCAGTGGGGAGGGTGGAGGGCACTGGGGACACGGCCCCTTTTCCTGCGGCCAGGATCTAAAGATAGCCAGAGAGCTCTGTCCCTTCCCCTCCCCTTCTCTGGGCAGGGTTCACTTGCCTTCCCTTTGGCTCACCTCCTCTCTCACCTCAGCCTCCTGTTCTGAGAAACTTGAGCTCTGCTGTAAAAATAAAGCGGGCAGGCCCGGATGCCTGGACCTGTGGATCTAGTGTCCAGGACCTCCTGGAGGAAGGAGAGGGCGGGACTGGAGATGGGAAGAGACTAAGCATTTTGGGGGGGGGGGCACAGACCTCTATGAGAATAATAAGAACTAAAGTGGACCGCATGTTTACCCTCTGTCTACCACTCTGCTAAACATTTTTTTTTTTTTAATTTGATAGACAGAGATCACAAGTAGTCAGAGAGGCAGGCAGGAGGGAGAGGAGGAAGCAGGTTCCCCGCTAAGTGGAGAGCCCGATACGGGGCTCGATCCCAGGACGCTGGGATCATGACCTGAGCCGAAGGCAGAGGCTCTAACCCACTGAGCCACTCAGGCGCCCCTCTGCTAAACATTTTTATATGCAATGATATCTCATTTGGTTCTCATAGCTAGGTCCACCCCCAAGGCTTGTAAGGCCTGGAGTAAGTGTACAAACGGAAATTACATATGTGCTTAAATATGAGTTCTAAATCGGGATAACAAAGGGTTAAAATTTATCTATTGTCCTCTGACTTGATTACTTTTCCTTGACCTTAATTTGAAGACCTAGTCCAAAAGGCCTTCTCTGGTCCGCTCTCATGGGTGCCTGAGAACATTTTACCCGATGTCAAGTTCTAGACACGCCCCAGCCCCCTGCAAACAGCTGTACCTTGCCCACCACCTGAGTGCACCGTCAGGCAGGGTTGGCTCCTGGGAGAAGGGGCCTGGGGAAGAGGCTGGCTCAGGGTTGAGTCATCGGAGCAGGGAATTCCAGAGGCCCGGATCTTCAGAGCCTGGTCTAGAAGAGGGAGGTGCATGGACCACCCTCCCTTTCTGCCCCATGGGACCCCCTTGCCCAAGGGGGAGATGATAGCCAGAGGAGGGCCAGAGCAAGGCCCTGGGGGCTCAGGAGTCCAGGGCCCCTGAGGCCCCTCCCTGTCGTCCAGCCTAAGTGTGGCATTGTTCTTAACAATCTCAGGAGGTAAATATCATTCCCTTCACCAGAGTACAGATGAGGCTTCTGCAGAAGATTGCATAACTTGCTCAAGGTCGGACGGCAGTAGACGCTGGAGCTGGGACTGGACTCCCCAGCGCCTAACCCCAGAGCTCCTGCAATACTGTCACAGCTCACGGAGGAAAGGGAGCAGGCCTCTCTTCTGGAAAAACAGGCATTCAGCATTTCTCAGCCAACCTGGGGGTGGGGGGGTCCATGATCTCCTTGAAGCCCACTAGGGGCCCCAGCTTAAGAAGGTGGGGTGCTGGTGAGGCAACGGTGGGGCTGTGGCAGGGGTCAGGGCGTGGAGTGGGAGCAGGTTTTCGAGTTTGAATCAGCCTCCAGATGTACGAGGAGTGGAGGACCAGGGAAGGAGATGGGATCTGTGACTGATGGAGGGGTCTGGATGGTTGGCAAGGGACTGCTGAAGAGGACAGCGAGGATAGCAGACACTGGCTACCAGACCACCCTAAATAGCATTTCTCACTCTTCCCTCAGAGGTTAGATCAGGCTTGCTGGGTAGAGGTCTCCCTGCATCCCTGCTACTTGGCTGTAACCGTAAGCAGGGAGGCCTCCCCGGGCTCCTTCACCCCAGACCCCAAAAGGGAGGCCCAGGGAACCTCCTGGAGGAGGGGGCAAAGGCAGAGTCTGAAGGGACAGCTTAAGGGGGAGAAATGAGAAGTAGGGGTGTGGCGGGAGGGTGTAGCTGGACGCAGATAGGGAGCGTTTGGCCTGGTTGCCTAGCTGGGAGCATCACGATTTCTCAGGAGTCCACGAAGAAATGGGAGAGGTTGGTGGGCGGTGGGCGGGGGCAGTTTGCAACTGGAAGCTTAGTTCCCAGAGCCCCAAGCCGCGGGGGCGAAGGCGGAGGGCTGCAGGCGCTGGGGTCCGCAGTGGGCCAGCCCACACCTGCTCACCCGCTGCGGCGGGGCGACCCGTGGACGTTCCATTGGTTCCTCTGCGGCCCCGGGAGAGGGAGTCGCTACCCTACTCGTGGTCCCCAAAGCAGAACCAGCACATCCTTCCAACACCAAGAGCTCCCTATCTACTCCCCCCAAAACTATCCTCCTAATTGGCAGCTCAGCGCCGGGGACGATGCGGGCGGCTGCGGGTGGCTCTGCAGTGCCAAGCCGCAGCCGCCCAGCCCGAGATGGAGAAGGGAGTGGGGTGCCCGGCCTGCTCCCGGGGCTCCCGGGTGGCGAGGCAGGGCGCGCCGGGCTGGGTGCGCAACGGGCGGGGGCGCCCCGGGCTCCGCTGCGGCCACCGCCCCTCCTGCGGCTGGAGCGCTTCCAGAGCAGAGGCGCAGCGCCGCTCTCCTCTGCGCCCGCTCAGCGGTCCTCGAGCTCGTCGCCGTCCTCCTCCCCTTGCTCCTCCTTCCCCTGCTGCTGCCCTCAGCAGCAGCTCCGGGAGCCGGCTCCTCCTCTCCCTCCCTCCCCCAGCTCTTGCGCTCTCTCCGCTAACTTTCCCGAGCCCGGGCGGGCGGCGCAGAGCTGCGGGCGGCTTCGCGGCCCACTGCAGACCGCGGGCTGCGAGCGGCTGTGCCCTGTATCTCGTCCCCGCGCCCCCGGCGCGCTCCAGAGATCACACGAAGATGCCCGAGGCCGGGGACAGAGGCGCAGCCCGGGCGAGATGGCTGGGCACTGGGCTTTTGGGTAAGGCAGCCCCGGCTTGATCCCTTCTCCTCTTTCTCCACCTTCTTCTCCCCGGGGAGGAGACACTTGGAAGAGAAGTGCCTCGGACCCGGGTGGGCTTTGGAGCGTGGCGTGGTACGGAATAAGCCCCGCTGCCACCAGTTTCTTGCCGGCCGCCCTGCTCGGACGGCTGTGCCCCCTGGGGACCGTGCGCGTCCCCCGCCCCAGCGGCCAGCCCCGTGATTAGTTCTTTGCTGTCTCTGGTGCCTTCAGCTCCAGGCTTCTGGAGTTGCCTCTCGGGGCTGCAGCACGGGTCTCCCGGGTTCCGAGGTTTAGGGGTGCTAGGCGAGGGTGTCTGTGCCCTGGGTTGGGGGTGAGGGGGATGTCAGGGGGTTGCACGTGTGATTGTTGGGATGGTGCTTTCTACCCCTGCCCAGAGCTGTTTGCAACTTGGATGCTTGTTGCCCAGGCATCAGGCATGCACCAATTGGAGGGGGTGGAGAGGGGAACGCGGGGGCGGAGGGGGGCTCCCCTTCCTCCTGGCCCTTTTTCTCTTTGTCTCCTCTGCCCTCTATCTCCTTCAGTGCCCACTGTCTTCCCTGAGGCTCCACACCAAGAACTGGAGAGGGTTGGAGGGACTTGGAGGATCATTCAAGCCCCCTTTTAGGAAGGATCTTGTCTCTCTTCTTAGGAAGGGATCCCACAGGGAGAACCTGTTTAATCTGCTCTCAGCTCTTGGTTTTGGGGGTGAATGTGAAGACTGAGGAGCTAGAGCCAGAGGCCACAGAAGGAACAGAGTCTTAATATCTATTAATATGGACATGATGGTTTCGAGTGGCGAACTCCAAGAGATTAGAGAATGAGGTTGGTCCAGAATATAATCTCGTAAAGCCATAGCTGGATTTTGACGTAAACTGACTCCATCTCTGGCGCCTGGACCTCTTCCTGTTTATACTTGTCAGATTTGGCTTTTGGCAGCTCCCCTCCTTGGACTGGGCGCATGATGTAGGCATTTGTGCTGAAAACAGGGAGACCCAGCTTTTAAGGGCAGTCGTTGCTGTTTCCGCAAATGTAAATAGACCGTCTGCAGACCTGCATGTTGGCACATGGTCCTGGAGGAAGAGAGAGTATTTCTCTCACTCACGGGCCACTGATTTCATTGCATCCCCCAGCTAGAGAGAAGACGCTGGTGTTTTCTCCTGCCCCTTTGGCACAGATGTGTGCTGGTTTCACCGTGACCCTAATGAGGTTGGTCTCCATGAGGTCTAAGGCATCTCTTCCCAGGGGTGGGCACCGTGCTGCTGCACACCCCACTCCCCCCATCCCATTTCTGATCAGCTCCAGTTCTCACGGTGACCACGGCTGGGTAAGGGGGTCACTGGGGACTTCACATGCATGTGGTTGTTAATCCAGCCCACTTATCAACACCTCTGGCTTCCCTTCCGCCTACTGCCCAGCTGGGTGGTGGGATGCCAGTGCCTGGGCCATTAGAATATTCATAGAACCACAGTGGGAAACCACACCACACTACACACTGGGGGAGGACTGTGGGCAGAGTCTCAGTACTTTTCTCCAGGGGGAAGTCCCCACTTCTTCCAAGGACTGTTCCACTAGGTAAACTAGGTAGGAGCAGGAGCTCATTGGAGCAGGTTTGGGTGAGGCCCTGAGCTACCCTCTGGGAGCCCAGGAGAAAGCAGAGTGATTTTCAGGTGGGAGACTTACAGGCCCTAGAACTGGTCCTGCCTACTGCTCCCTGCCCCTCTGGTTTGCAGAGCAAATACCACCAGGGGCCCACTTTGAACGTTCCAGGCGGCCACTGCTGAGCCCAGCCAGGGGGCATTGCTTTGAGCTTGGGACCCAGACACCGTCCTTGCCCTCAGTCTGGCCCGGGGAGAGCAGAGGCGACTGGACAGTCCACTGCAGGAAGTGTGGAAACCATATCACAGAGCTCCTCAAAGGATGAGGAAACCAGGGTCCAGAGGGGGAAGGTGGCTCGCCCAACAGGGCCAACTGATGGTCACGCGGGCCAGAATCTAGGTCTCTTGGGCTCTGTCAGCCCGACTTGCCTCCTAGTTGACCAAAGTCAGCTGAGAGGGAAGGTCAGCAGGACTGTGCAGATGAGCCGAGGGAAGGGGGAGGCATGCAGGGATGGAGGCCTGGGGGCCCAGACGACTGTGGAGACTGGGCACAGAGCATTAGCCTCCCAGGAGTCCTTCACCCCCCCCCCCCCAAGACCCCTGGCCTCATGTCAAGCTCAGTCTCACAGACTGATCCTACAGATTTCTCCTAACCTCACAAGACGTCCTTCTCTGCAGTGGAGGAAGAGTTTCCCAGGCTGCATCGTTGCAGCTGGGGTTTCCGTGGGTGCCAGTCCCTTCCCGACTTGTAACTGGTAATATATCTGTCCTGCCCACCCCTTCCTTGTTCCCTCATTTGCTTAATTGCTGTGTTCTGTGTTTAATTATCACTTGTGAGGGCGATATGTTGCACAACCCTCTTTCCCTTGGTATGTATTTATTAAGGGCTTGTTTAATGAGAACACAATTAAGGAGAGGGTGCTCAGACCCGCTCAGAGAAAAGGAAAGGGAAGGGGAGGTAAGGAGTTAACGCAGAAGAGGGCGGGAAGGGGGAAAACTGGTGGGGGCGTGGGGTGAGGTGGGGGAGAATGTACCAGGTTTGAATCTGGCCCTGGTGATTGTTTTTTTCTGGAGATGCTGCCTTATGGGGTATCCCAAGACCCTTTGGCCTGTCCGCCCCCCACTGGGTTCTGTGTGAACCGTAGACCCCAACACAGATTCTCAGACTTCGCCCTCTTGCTGAGTGTGGGGATCCCCGCATAAGCCTAGGCGAGCATTCCGCATTCTGCAGCCCTGCAAGAGGAAGGACAAGCACACCGTTTGGGCTTGTTGGCAAAGCTGGTTTTGTTGAGCATCCAGTAGTCTCTGAGGGCCCTCCTCGAAGCTCCTGGGGGTGGGCAGGAAGTATGCAGGTTGCCTAGGGAGAGGGAGCTAAGATCTTTCCTTTGTCTCTAGGCCCAGGGGCCTTGGTTGGCCCAGCCCTGCCTCCCACAGCCCCCAGGGCCCGACCCCCAGGGGGGTCTTGTCCTGCTGCCTCGGCCCACTTTCTGCCTCTCAGCTCCTACTTGGAGCCTGTCTGACTCCCCTGGGGCCCCAGAGTATCAGCTTCCCTATTACAGTCAGCCTGTTTCCGCCTGCCATGCCAAGCAAGGCCTTGGAGCTAAACTTAGAGTCCAGGCCACCTTGCCCCTCTTTCCTCCCTCCCCTCGGGCTGTGTGTGTGTGTGTGTGTGTGTGTCCCCGTGACAGATCCTTGGATGTGGGAAAAGATGACAGACCATTTCCTGCCTTGGAATTTGCCTTGGAATGTCTGCTGGGGGCCTGAAGACTGTGGCTGGTGGGAGTATTTAATAAGATTTGCATGCACCGAGTACTTTTTATTGCCTAGTTTAGTGGAACTTTGGAGTCCTGAGTCAATCCTCCTACAAAGCCCCATAGTACCCAGGCGAGGATGGGAGGGACTGAAGGCTTCAGAGAGGCACGAGCTTGCTGGTTAGGGCCTTTCAGTGAAAGGCAAAGCTTTGGTGCTCAGGGTGGAAAGCTACAGGATCATGGGGACTTGCCCATCGGTCCCACGATGTCAGAGAGAGGCCCCCAATCCCAGATCCACATGTGCACACACTGAAATTCTCAACAGCTGAAATTCTAAGCAGCGTCTCTACTCTATGAGGTGGTACAGGGGGCGAGTACAAAAATGAATGAAGGCCAGACCTACTCCCCTCCCTCCATCTGAACACCATCCTCCTCTACAAGCAGGGTGCCTCGGTCAGGGGGATGGACTCACTGAAGCCCTTCCTGTGTTTTGTAAGCTTGTGTTTTGGCTTTACCAAAGCTCAGAAGGTAGGAAAGACAACCGTCCTAGTTTGGGGGCCTGCGTGCTGGATGTGGCATCCCTGACTTTCTTAAGGTCAGCAGGCCAGCAGGCAGAGCAGGGCCTGCCTTGCACCTGCTGACCACCCCCCCCACCCCGCTCCTGGCCTGGCCATCCTACTGAAGCTCTTCTCTGGGGGTCTCCAGTGGATCAACACTCTGGCCTTGCTCCCTCTGTCCCCCTAGCACAGCTTCACACGGGAGAGAGCACGGGAGACAGGCCCCTGGGGCTTTCCTTTGCAGGAGCCTCTCAGACATTGCGGGCAGGGCTTTCAGATTGCTGGGAGGATGTGTGGTGCAGAGGCCGGCCCTGCCCACCCTCTCTGATGCCTTCCCTTGGACAGGGCTCTGGACTTATCTGTGAAAGCCTCTGTGCCTTTCCTTTGTCCCCTCCAGGCTGTGGGGAGAATGGCAGTGTTTCACTGTGGCAGTCCTGAGGATCTTACTTAAGTCATTCACACAGGCACACACTAATCAGGCAGAAATGTGCATTGTCATGAGCTAGACCTTAAAGAAATAGTCTGTCCCCTGTTCTGGACTGTTCTTTTGCTCTTTTTTTTTTTTTTTTTTTGCTTCTACCTATTTAAAGCAGTTTGAAAGATTTTACTTTTGATGTGTATTTTTGGTACTCTTGGAGATCCTATTCTGGCTGGGGTTGGGGAGGTGATCTGACCCCTGACTTGAGTTCCCCCATCTTCCCCAGGATCCAGGTTCCTGGGCAAGGGGTTTCAGGGAGCACTGGAGGCCGGAGCTGTGGTTCTCCTTGGAGCTTGGGCCCCAAGGGAGGTCTGTGGTTATCAGGAAGCGTCTCCTGGGGGCTTTCCTGTCATAGCTCCGTATTCTCTTGCTTGGTTTGGAAGAACATTGGGGGTGGGAAGCAGAGCTGGGTTCTCCTACGTCATCTGGGCTGGAGGGCTGACTCTCCTGTCTGGCCTCTGTCCCCAGACCTCCTGGGGAGGTATGCCGCAGAGCAGGAGCAGAGGTAGAAAGAAAACCTTGCGCGCGCTAAGCAGAGGTAGCTTTGACAGTGTCAGTACCTCTTATTCCCCTCATTGGGGGTGTGGCCTTGAGCAAGTTCATGTCTCTGAGCCTGTTTCTTCATTCTGCATACTGAGGATAAAAATAATGACCACACAGGATTAGTATAAGGATTAAATGAGATAATGTATATAAAATGCCTGTCCTTTCTTAGAGGAAATGCCCAGTCCCCAATTCACCATTTACTCTGTGGCCCTGGGCCAGTTACTTAACCTCTCAGAGCCTCAATTTCATCTAATCTGTAAGATGAGAAAAAGTCTACCTACCTTTTGGTGTTCTAATAAAAGTTGGCGTTCCTATGTAGAAACCCTCTAGCACAGTGGTTCTCGAGGTATTGTCCCTGACCCCAGCATTCCCTGGCGTCATTTAGAAATGCAAGTTCTCAGGCACTAGATCTACTGAATCAGAAACTCCAGAGGGAGGGCCAAGCTCTTTGGTGCCCTCCAGGTGATCTGATATTCCCTCAAGTTGGAAAAGCTACTGCTCTAGAACACTTCCTGGCACCTAAGAGCCGATCAAAGAAGGAGGGCTAACTTCTCAGCACTGATGGGAACCTTGGTGGGCAAGTCCCACTATATTAGGATGTAAGAAAGGATTTTTTCTTTTTTTTTTGCTTTGGGGCTTTGGAATGCTAGAAATGTTTCTTGTTGACCTTAGGCAAGTCACTTAACCTCTCTGTGCTTTGTTGTCTCCTCTGTAAGTGGGACCTATGCTAGTATGTCCCTCATAGGATGGGGTTGAGGATCAAATGGGCACATCAACTATTATCCACAGTGGCAGGGGTCATGATGGGTCACTGGACCCCTGGGGGTTCTTTCTGGCCTTTGGAGGTAAGAGCACTCCCCTTTGCCTTCAGAAGCTAGGGTGATGCGAAGAAGGTGAGAGGAGCCCAAGGGCAAGGAACAGGGCAGCCAGCTCTCCTCAAGCCTTCTCTGTCATTTAAAAAGCATTGCTTAGGGGAGCAAAGCAAGGGAAAGCTGGATAGAGGCCATGGGGGATCAAGGTAGACAAAGGAGGTCCTTCCTTGGGAGTGAGGACAGGTGAAAGAGCAAGGTTGTTGACCTTTAAAACAAAGACGACCCTGGCTGTCTTGGGAACAACACCAATTCTGGGGATGGACCTGGGACGACAGAGGGTTTCAGGGGGCCCGGCCAGTACACCTGGTCACCACAACCGAGTGTCTTCCCATGCGGGGCCTTGTGGTCCCGTCTCTACAGCAGGCAGTCTGAGTCTGGGGCCTCAAAGAGTGGTGTTGTAGGATCGAAGTAGCTGAGAGAAGGTGCGGTCTGGGAGGAAACATCGGGCAAACTTTGGGACAGGAATTAGTCCAGCCGTATGGCTCCCCTCAACTGCCCACCAGCTCTTCGGTCAGACCTGGGCTCAGACTTCAAGAATCCCTAGAAGTTGTACAACTTTGGGCAAGACACTTTGTTCTTCTGAGCCTCGCCTTTCCCATCTGTAAATGCAGGATTAGTGATACCCATCTTACTGGTGTGGGGTGGGAAGGCAATGGAATTACCTGCTGGCAGCTGGTAGCAAGGTTCTGGGCCCAGAAAGGGGGGTCACTGGGAACCTGACTAGGACTCTCTCTGAGACCTCAGGTGCCCCTTTCACGTCATGGCGAGGACACCACCTAGGCATCTTATTCTGACGCCCCTCCCCTTGGGTCTCCTCCAGGACTCTGTAGAACAGGAAGGCCAGGGCCCCTTACAAGGACTCATGAGGGGGGAGTCCCAAAGGCCAAGAGTGGAGACTGATGGTTTCCACTCGCCCCAGCGGCAGGGGTGTGTGTGGGGGCGGGTCCGGAGGGACCAGCGGTCCTGCACCCTCTCCAAGCCGCCCCGGCTCCAGCATCCCTGGAGTCGGGAATCGGCCTCCACCCGTGTCTCCCGCCCTCCCTCCCACTTTCTCTCCTGGGATCGCGTTCCGCGCGCTAGCTCGCCGCCACTCGGTGCGGCCCAGTCCCTTCCCCACCTGCGCCGGCTCCCTCCTGTTTCGGGGGTCCCGGCCCGTGGTCCGAGGGTGTGGGACCCCGCCGGCCAAGTACGCTGGGGCGGGAGGTGGCCCTCTGCCTCTCCGCCTGTTGGCGCCGGTGAGCGTGTCCGGGGCTCGCGGATAAGAGGTGGCGGCACAGTGTGGCGGGCTGCGTTTGGCCATTTTCTCTTCTCCGCGAGGGACTAGGCTCCCGCACGCCACCCCCCCTTCCCCTGCCCCGGGCCCCGCCCCACCCCCATTCGGGAAATGTAACCAGGGGCAGCGCACCGTCCTAGGCGAAACACCCACGGCAAACAGGTGGAGCCCATCCCGCGCACGGGGTGGTGCGGGGATAGCACTTGCGGGGACTGCGCCCGCAGGGTAGGGGCGCGGCCTCGCGGCAAGGGCCTCGTTTTCCTAGGTTGGGGCGACCTCTGGTGGTCATTCCGGGTGCCACACGGGCAGCTCCCTGGCCCAGGCGGAGGGGGAGAGATGAACGAGGGCCCTTCGCTCAGGCAGTGTTAACTGAGTTAACTGAGGTAAAGAGAACCATCCTCCGGAAGTTGATACACAGGGCGACAGCGACCTCCCTGCCTGGCCGGGCCACTCCTCCCTGCCCGAGTGTCCTCTTCCAGAGCTCCAGGCTGGAGATTGCAGTGGGGTTTTCTTAAGAGAGGTGGTGCCTGTCACACAGGTCTCTTCCTGCTCCCGGTGTCCTTGTCGCTGGAGGTGTCTGTGGGAAAGGCCACCACCATCTACGCTGTCAATGGCACAGAGATCCTGCTACCCTGCACCTTCTCCAGCTGCTTTGGCTTTCAAGACCTCCACTTCTGGTGGTCCTACAACATCAGTGATACCTACAGGATTGTAAGTAGTAGGGGAAGGGACAGGACATCTCAGACACTCCTCCCTTCCCTGTCACCTCACCCCTGCCTTCCTTTCCCCTGTTCTGGTCCCTTCTGGACTGACCTCACTGTGATGGTCCCCAGAATCCACCTATTGTCATCCTTTCTCCTAGCATTCTTTCCAGAGCCTGTCCAGAAGGATCTAAGTGGGAAGGATGCTTAGATGGTGTTGCCAGAATTTGGGTTTGTTGGAATTCTTGGCTAGAGTCCTTTGTCTGGTCTGAAGAAATGCCTGAAACTTGGATAGCTTGTGTAAAAATAATTCAATTTAAAAGACAGGAGAGAGAAAGATCTTTGGAAGGCTTGGAGAGAGGAAATGAGAAGAGTCCAAATGTGAGAAGGGCTGGGGAACTGGACCCAGAAAGAACGGAGAGGCGTCTAGAGAAGAGAAAGGTCTTCTGAGGGTGCACTGGCGGGGCTGTGGGCTGGTGGTGAGGATGGACCAGCCCGCAGGTGTTTAGTGAGTACTCACCGTGCAGTCTTGTAGGGGACCTGAAGTGTACATAAGGAGGCCACAAGAGACCAACTCTGGATGTAATGAAACACTGGGCTCAGGGCCGCTGATAGTGCTGTAGGATTGACCCAAATCTTGATGGAGGGCCAGAATTCAGATGGACAGGGTACAAGTTGTCAGCAAAAACTGTGGACGGTGGTGGTGACAGAGGGAAATGAGAGTGGTAATTGCCAGAGCCATTACGTAAAAGGCTTTTATGAAGAAAGAGATAAAAGCTGTGCTACGTTCCAGGGAGATCTTAATGACAGAAAATGGGTTTAGCTTGAAGCAAGTGAAATTCAGGTTAGACAGGCAGTGCTATTGGTATTGGAAGGAAACCAAGTGGGGGGAGCACCTCTGGCTGTAGGCTCTCTCAAGATCTGGACAGTGAGGCAACCGAGGAATGGGCTGGAGTGATGCCATGACTCTTGAGGACCACTATTCTTTCTGATCCTCCTCTTCCCCACCCCCTTCCTCCCCTAGCTCATAGACGGGACAGTAAAGAACGAGAAGTCCGACCCCAAGGTGAAGTTCAAAAATGACGATCGCATCACTCTGGAGGGTTCCACTAAGGAGAAGATGAACAACATTTCCATTCTGCTGAGGAACCTGGAATTCAGCGACACAGGCAAATACACCTGTCATGTGCAGAACCCCAAGGAGAATAATTTTCAGCACCAGGCCACCATCTTCCTCCAAGTCGTTGATAAACGTAAGCAGTGGGGGTACCCCATTCAGTGGGGTCAAAGGGCATTTCAGTCAAATGGCAAAATGGACCACGTTGGTGTTTTCTTTTGCTTTACGCTTTTGAAAGTTACTGGAGTCACTTCTGGAAGCTCAGATAACCTAGCTCTAATACCTAATCTGCCCCTGAATAGCTTACGATACACACTTCGCCCCTCAGAGCCTGGTTTTCCTCACCTGCAAATTCTGCCCCATCCTAGGATGCTAGTGAGAAGCAGGGATGGGATATAGGATGGTTTGTGGTGGGAAAGTTCTCTGTGTGAGCTGATGATTACCACTCTTGTGTACGCCCCTAGCAACTGTTAATCGAATGCCAGGCATCAGAACAAAAGGGACATGAATGATCCCCAGTGTTCTTCCTTGAGGAAGGACTATAGTCCAGGGTAAGACAGAAAATGGGTCAACAGAGGACAGACAGAGGGACAGAGCATGTAGAGCCACAGGCAACTGAGACTGAGTCACTGCTTCCTTCTGGAGGCATAACCACAGCTGAGGACCGCAGTCTGCCACAGGTGGGACAGGGGGACAGGGAAGAAGCCTGTGAGGAGCAGCCAGCTGGTCACATGACCGCCGACACTAGAGGTGGTTAGAGAAGGGGCTGGTGGGGTTATGCTGGACTTCATGGATGGGGAGCCTGGAAGGTGAAGGGGGCACAGAAGTAGAGAAAAAGGGAAGAAACCTGTTTGTGCTGCATTTCTTGGGTGCCTGGGGACTCACTGCTCTCCTGGATGAAGTGAGGTGCTTGGAGAGAGAGAGATGCCCATGGGTTCACTGTTGGCTGTGCCAAGGGCAGAGCCAGAGGCCTTCCAGGCAGCTCTCTCTGAGCCTAGAGCCGTTGGAGTTAAGGCTGTGTATGGCATCATCTCATCCTTTTATTGGTCTGGATGTTGTCCTGCTTGTGCTCAGCCTTTGCAGGATGGAAGAGGAGGGGAAGGGAACCAACATTTATGAAGGATAAATTTATGGAGGATCTTGAACACTGAGTTAGGTGCTGTCTGTTACCTTTGCACCTTGTCCCTCCCATGTCCCTTTGAAGGGATCTTTTCTTCCTTTTTATAGATTCCTTCATTCATCTAGTCAACAAATATCTGTTGGGCAACTCCTTATGTGGCACCTACTGTGGCATGAACAAGGTAGACAAGTTTCTGCCCTTACAGAATTTCCATCTAGTCGGGGGAGATATGTAGTAAACAAAATAAAGAAGAAAATGGTGTTGTATGAGAGAGCATGGCTGGTGTTGTAGGGAAAAAGCAAAATGGGGAGGGAGAGATGGGGTGCTAGCAGTGTCACCAGGGAAGGCCTCATGGAAAAGGTAACACAGCATAAGGACCTTTGAGGGAGCAATGAGGATGTCTTTGGGAAGATAGTCCAGGCAGAGGGAATAGCAAGTGCAAAGGCCCTGAGGCCTATACTTGAACATCAATGAGGCCAATGTGGCTGGAGCAGGGCAAATAACAAGAAATGAGTCAAGTTAAGCCATGTTATGTGAGGCCTTGTAAGCCTGCATGAGATGGGAGCCATTGAAGAGCTCTGAGCAGATGAGTTAACCTAGAACAAGCTCTCTGTGGGGCCAAGAATAGACAATGAAGTAAGGAGTCCGGTTAGGAGGCCCCTACAAGTGTCCAGGCCGGGATGTCTTGAGCCAATGTGGTATTGAGAGATCAGATTCTGGAATTTTTTTTTTAAGATTTTATTTATTTATTTAACAGAGAAAGACAAAATGAGAGAGGGAACACAAGCAGGGGGAGTGGGAGAGGGAGAAACAGGCTTCTTGCAGAGCAGGGAGCCCAATGCGGGGCTCGATTCCAGAACCCTGGAATCATGACCTGAGCTGAAGGCAGATGCTTAATGACTGAGCATCCCAGGTGCCCCTGGATTCTGGAATTTTTAAGTTAAGTCTGTTAGGATTCTCAGGGGGATTGAATGTGGGGTTCGGAGAAGGGAGGGGTCAAGGATGACTCCAAGGATTTTGGTCAGAACAATAGGAAGGATGAAGTTTTCTCAATGGAGGTGAGGAGACAGAGAGTGGAGAAGGTTCCAGAGGTCACGAGTTCAGTTTTCAGATGAGGAAACAGAGGGAGAGGGCTTACGTGGCCAGCTCAGAGTTACCAGCCTGTTAGTGACTGCTGAGACCCTGAAGTTAAAATCCAGACGCCCTGACCCCAAAGTCTTCCAGCCACGTAAAAGTTGTTACAGGGAGATTCTTGATTTTTCCTGTGTGGACAAAGGAGGTCCAGAAAGAGACAATGACAGGTTTAATGTGGCAGTTTGGGGGCCAAGTCAAACCACGGTGGGCCCTGAGTGTGAATTATTCCAGAACCGTGTGTGTGTGTCCATGGGAGGGTATGTGTGTGGAGGGGTTGTGTTGTGCCTTAGCCGGGTGGATGCCATGTTCCAGCTTCTGTTTCCTGTGGGGGTGGGCACATCCCAGATGCCAGGGTTGGAGGGGTGTAGCCATCGGGCTGCCATCGTGCTGGGCTCCAGGTGACTCCTGCTCCCCTCACCTGCCCCCTTCTCTCCCTATTCTGGCCATACAGTGGAAGAAGTGGACAACACAGTGACCCTCATCATCCTGGGTGTCGTGGGTGGGGTCATCGGGCTCCTCATCCTCATCCTGCTGGTCAAGAAGTTCATTGCCTTCATCATCAAGAAGACTCAGGAGAAGAAGTGAGTTGACTCCATTGCACGCTCCTGTCCTCCCACTGGCCCACCACCCACTCCTGTCTTGTGTTGTGGGTGTTCCCAGCATCATCTCATTCCACTGTCATCTGCCTCCATCTGCCTTCATCCTTCCATCTGTCCCCTCATCACGTCCTCTCTTCTCACTCCTACTACTCTTTCCTGTCTCCCAGCCCCTCTTCCTGTCCCTTCTAGTACATATGTATTGAGCACAATGGGTTCCCTAAGTACATGAACTTACTCTTCCTTATCCTGCTTCCTCATGCATCCCATTAAACGTCTCTCTTTCCATTTGTACCTCCCCAACCTAAGTCCTACCAAAGGATTTAGATGCCTTGTTTTTTTCCATCAGAGAAAAGTGAAGATTCCATGTATAGAAACTCTAAAATGGGAAGACCCTTCTAGAGAGATCGGAGTCTTTCTGTGAGACTCTGGAAGTTCACATGGGGGAGACTAAAAAAAAAAACCCACAAAGGCTGATAGGCCCTCCCCAGAAGCCTCAGGGTGAGCTCAGGTTTGAGATAAACATCTTAAGGAGAAGGGGAGGGAAAACGGGGAGGTAGAGAGGGTATGAGCTCCAGGTCCAGAATTGCCAGAACTATGTCAGGCTCCAGAGAAGCAGGAGTGAATATAAAAAGGCATTTGGAAATTGTATTTTTTTAAAAGATTTTATTTATTTACTAGAGAGAGAGAGAGAGAGAGAGAAATAGAGTGAGAGAAGGAGAGAGAACACAAGCATGAATGGGGGGAAGGGGCAGAGAGAGGGAGAAGCAGACTCTCCACTGAGCAGGGAACCCCGTGTGGGGCTCCATCCCAGGATCCCGAGATCATGACCTGAGCCAAAGGCAGGTGCTTAACTGACTGAGCCACTCAGGTGCCCCTGGAAGTTGTATTATCAGCAAGAAAGATGAGAGGAGACATTGGAGCAGAGAGGGGGGTAGCAGCAAGGAGGTGCAAGGGGGAAGGGAGAGCTGCTCTCTTTCTGTTCCTGTTCATTCTGCTTTGTTGAGAAGAGGGAATTAGGCTGGAAAGGGCAGAAGTTGTGCTGGTAACAAGGGAGGGAAGCCGAAGTCAGGAAGGCACCAGGGGGTGGGGAACGGGAGGCACTGACTGAGATAGATGAAGAATTTTTGGATTGTCTCCTTGCGTCGTGGCCAGAGTTTTGGAGATTTTGAAAGAGAGGCCATGGGCATGGAGTTAGACCAAATTCTCTTTTTGGTTTTGCTACTGATAGTTAGCAAAACTGGAGAACAGATTATTCAACTCGTGGTTTAAAAGCACCTAGAAAAGAAAATAGCGATCCTTGGGCGCTGCCATGGGCTCATCAAGAACAAGGCAGGCCAGACATTTTCTTGCCAGGGCGCTGGTGGATCAGGAGATGGCTACGGGTGGTAATACTTCTTGTTATTCACTGAACGCCCACCGTGTGTTAGGTACTGTGTTAGGTATTTATGTGATAGCCACAATTTTTATATTTTACAGTTGAGCGTGGTGGGGCTCAGAGTGGTGATGTAGCTTGCCCAAGGCCACACAGCTGGAAAGTGATGGACCTGAGATTTGCATCCTGGCTTGTTTGGCTTCAAAGCTTTAACCATGGTCACTGTATCCTACTGATTCGGGGAGTATATCCAGAGTTCATTCATTTCTTCTTTCATGTGATGGCTGTTTCTGAGGTAGTGTGTACAAGGCACTGTGCCAGATGCTGTAGGATATTCTGGAAGGAATGAGATTCTGTATGCAAATCAATGTGAGACAAGGTAGAGAGGATGGGTGCCAGCAAAGACGTGTGATAGAATGATCCAGGGGTTCCAAAGAGGGTGGAATACTAGGGAAGGGTTTTTGGTTGAAGGACATTTGTGGCAGGCCTTGCAAGACGATCTAATGTAAGCCCTGGGGAGGGTGAGGAGAAGGTCGTTCCTGAATTGCTGAGAGCAGAGGCAGGGTCTAGGAAGAGGCATGGGTCTGGAGAACAAGGCTTTTTGTCAGTCGAGAGACTGGGGGGATTGGTAGGGGGAATATGAGAACAAGCCTGCACAGGGCATTGCCAGGAGACCTCTGGGGACCGGGGAGTCTGGGTTGAGACTGGCTTTTTTCTTGGGTTCGTGGGGGCTGGTGAAGACTTTCAGGGCCTGGCATGATCAGAAGGCTTTGGAAGAAAGGGTCTGGCCTAGGTGAGCACAGGGACTGGGCAGGGGGAGGCTGGAAGTGGGAGACAGACCACAGGGAAACCTGAGAGGGGTCCTCTGAGTGCGAGGAAAGCCTGCATGAACAGCAGAGATGGGGTGGCTTCCCCAGAAGAAGGGAGGTGTTGGACAGCATCTCAGGGTTTCCACTCGTGGGGCAGGTCCCCCTCTCTCCTTTCCTGCTCATCTTTGTCGGTCTCAAATTCTGTGACCTGTCCAAAGAGCCCTCCCTGACCCCTCGGAGGAGGCTTCCTATGTGGATCCCTCCTTGGTAAACCCTTCCTCCTATCACTTATCACATCGTACTGTGGTTACTCATTGAATGTCACATTCTCTGGAAGACTGTGAGTTTTCTGAGAGCAGGCAGCCACCTAGTCTGACAACGTGCTTGGTACCCAGCAGATTCTCAGAAAAGCAATATGGAGTGCTTGGGAGTACAGTGATGCGGACGGGAATTGTCTGGGTTGACTACCTTAAGTATAGAGATAAGTAGGTAGATCGATCGATCGATCAATCGATTTGCATAGAGGTCTTTACTGGTATGCCACAGGTCTCTGCTCATTCATTGTTATTAAGATTTGAATTACACCAGGAATGATGTCAAGTTTTCAGGGACTTAGTGACTATGTTGGAGAACAAAACTGGGGTCTAGGAGGAGCTTGAAAGGCTGGAGCTACGGACTAAATTTTGCAAAACAAAACGGATGAGGACAAAATAGTTAAGTCCTTCCTGAAGGCCTCGAAGCCGGCTACACAAGTCCGGGGTGAGGCTGAGATAGTTCAGCCACAGCAGCTGTGAAACAGGCTTGGAAGTTTTCCGGAGAAGCAAGCTCAAACTGATGTAGCCGTCAGGTTCCCCGGAGCACTCTGCACAGCTCGGGTGCTGCGGGTGAGGTTATGGTGTGACATGCTCGCTCTGGAGCGTGTCCAGCTGCCAGCCGGAGGTGGGGATGTCTTCCCAAGTAACCATCTCCCCTTCCTGCTGCCATCTCCCATCCTACCACACTCTGCCACCCCCGCCTTCCCTGCTGCCCAGACCTCTGCCTGCACCGCCGCTTGCGTGAGCTTTCTTCTCCCTCTGGTCACAGCCAGCTCAGAGAGGAAGGGGGTCTGCGGAAGGAGCTCTTTGACCTTGCCATACTGCCTGCTGGCCTGCACCCTTCATGCTGGGTTGGCACAGCCTGGGAATTAACCTGGTTTGGCTTCCCCTGTGCACTGATCTCTGGGACAAGCGCCTGGTGCCCTTGCCTTTCACCAGGCTGGAATGACTCGGTGATAGTGGGCCTTATGGGTCCTCTATGCGTGCCAGGCCCTGTTCTAGGTGCTTAGTGATGCCTCACAGCTTCCCCATGAAGGTCATTGTCATATCCATTTTATAGATGAGAAAACTGAGGCCCAGAGGGGTTCGGTGACTTGACCTCTTGCCACCTTTGCCTGACAGAGGGCCATGGGGTTGGCAAGGGGCTGGTCGCAGGGCCCAGGCTTCTGTCCATAGCCAAGCCCTTACTCTGGCCCCTCTCCTCACCCGCTCACCAGCTCCCTCTCCTCCTTTCTCCCTCTCCAGGAAGGAGTGCCTCGTGAGTTCCTCAGGGAATGATAACACAGAGAATGGGCTGCCCGGCTCTAAGGCGGAAGAGAAACCACCAACCAAAGTGTGAGCCCCCGCTGGGGGCCAAGCGGCAGCCCAGGCCTCACTTGCTGATGACGAACTGATGCTTGAGCCATGTCCGTGAACCCACGTGCCTGAGACACCTGCTGCTTGGCTCCAACTGTAGTCTTCCTGGGGAGAAACTGGGGTCCTGCCCAGCCTGCCTGCTCCCTCCCAGCCAGGGCTCCCCAGGGATGAGGGCTGGCCAGGGGAGGGGGCTTGTGGAAAGTTCAGGAAAGGAAAGGAGGGCTGGGTGGTGTGGAGGGCGGTTCCCCTGACACCTGGGGTACATGGGGTCTTCTTTAGTCTCCTCACCCTGTATGAGCAATACCTTGGTTTTCCCCCAGATTTCTCTTTAAGAGAGGCTTGGGGGGATCATGAGGCCTGCCCTAACAGATGGACCCCCATGAATAATAGTGTGGAGATCTAACCCTTTTGGTGGTGGATGTGGCCTAGAAGATTCTGTACAGGATCTGGGGTGGGAGCCTACTGGAGGGGTGCCGATAGTGAGAGGCTCTGATGGATACTGACCCCCCAGGTCCCTCTAGTAAGGCCCTTCCCTCCCTCCCACACAGGGTGTCTGGCAGCCCCCGATCCATCACCACTCCCCAGACCCCCGGCCCCCCCACTGCAGCTTGGAGTCTGTGAACCCTCCCAACTAGGGCTGGCCACCCTGGTCTTGGGGTCCTGGCCCCCCTAGCCTGCTCCTCTGATCTCTGAGTTTCTAAGGGGCTCCTGAGGGGGAGCCTCCCGCCTTCCTGGAGCACTGGGGTGCTGCCTATGCCTTTCCTAGCATTTCTCCTTGGGGAAGCAGGACTGCAGAGATGGGAGAGCCTATGTCCGGGACCTCTTGGCCCCTGGGATGCCCACCCCAGCCCCACCCATCCTGGCTGCCCCTTCTTGGCATGGCCGGCCCATTGCCGCCCCTGGGAACTCCTGAGCTTGCCTCCCCGCCGCTCCTCTTTCCCTGAGGCAGCAGGTGGTGTCATCTTGCTTGAGGTGTTTTTCCCTCAAATCCTCGCCTCCCGTGGTTCACGCCATACCTCCCTTGCCCTTGCCCATCCATCACACCTTCTCCCTTGGCCCAGGGTTGTCCACCTTCACCGTGGGGTCAAGGGCTTGATTTCACCTCAGGGATCCTCTTGCTTCAGAAGAGGGGGCCCCTTGGGTTTTTTGGCTGCTTTCTGTTCAGCTCTGTCATCCCCTCCCCACCTCCCCGGGGGTTGGGGAGGAGCAGGGAGAGGGGGCTCAGTCTTCCTTTGCTTTCCTGAGAACTGGTTTGCACACCCCTGTGTGGGGGGCTGGACTGTGCCTTAGCTTGTCATGTCCAGGCTCATCCCCTCCATCCCCTCTCCAGCCTGTGCATGACAGCCAGCCCTGGGGTGCCACTATGAGGGGTTCCCCAACCTGCCTCCGCCCAAGGTCATGCTGGGGACCAGGGAGCTGGGGTGGTGCCACCCACGGCCCCCTGGACAGTGACGGAATCTTGGAGCTGTGGGGAGACAGTGGTGGTGTCCCCACGGGGCGGGAGGGATTAAGTGAGTGCTGCGGTATTAGAGGAGGACTCTGCCATCTGCTTCTGCAGGTCCTTTGGGCCTGGGAGGGATGGGAGGGCAGTAGCCTCCCTTTCCAGAGGGTTTTTTTTTTTTTTTTTCTTTCCTTCCTCCTTTCCAAAGAGGTTATGGGGACTGCCTCAGGATTCTCCCTGTTAAAAAGCAGCTGCAGGCTTCCCCTAGGATGGGGGTAGGGGAGACTGAGGAGCAGCAGCTCTGGCAGGTGCCTGGCTGTGGCCTGTGGCCCTCACCCCACCTGATGGGTTCACAGGGTCCCACTCTGATCTGCCTGCAGGACTCCCATCCTTGTCCCCCCAGAACCTGAGGCTCAGGCTCAGATTGTCCTGGTTGAGAAGCAGACAGATAAGAGCTACCAGCCATTTGGAAAACTTCTTGTGTCTACCTTCATGAAAGCTGCTTTCTTTCCCCCTCCCAGTTTCAACATTTGAATGAGCTGAATCAGCTGGGCTCCCCTTACTGGCTCTGGAGGAGGCCAGGTATATAGAGCAGGGGGGCCGTGGGGGAAGAGCAACATCCTTTCCACTCCTGGGTCTACTGTTGACTGATAGGTGGGTCATGCATCTTCTCTGGGCTCAGCTTTTCCCATCTATAAAGTGGGAGTAATCATATGTACCTACCTCCCGGGTTGTGGGGCTTGGTGAGTTTTTGTTTTAAAACAAACAAACACACAAACAAACAAAGAAACAACTTTTTGGCTTGGAAAGGGATCTAGGAGGCCAGGCATTATAATTGGAGGAATTGTTCCAAGTCTGTCCTGTCCTCACCTCTGTGTCCCATCCCTAGGAGACACATGCACACACACTCACACACACGCACACTCGCACGCATGCACTTTCTCTCTCACTCTTGCGCGCGCTCTCTCTCTTCCCACTCCTCCCCCTTGGAATTATTTTAGTCTTTATAATATTAGAAACCTTGGCTCTGATGCTTAAAGCTTCTTATCCACGGCTCTTGTTTGGGAGTTTCCAATAGAGGTGAGATGACAGGGACTCTGGGGGACATTCTGGGTAGTCCCAGTGCCTGGGGGCACTATGGACATTTAGTGAGTGCTCAGGAATGTTCAGTTTCATCCTCACAACAGAGAATTGTTGTGCCCTAGTGCTGGGGTGTAACCCGGAGGAACATGGGCATGGATTTGCAGTAGAATGTCTGTGGGCAAAGCCATCTTCTCAGAAAGAGCCTCGGTGCATGCAGATCTGCAGGGGCTGGTGAAGGTGTTTCCAGGACTTGTGGGCTAGAGAGAACCATTTACAGAACTGATCTTGGGAGTCCTGCAGGCACGCAGCTGTGCTGACAGTCGTCAGTGAGACCAAAGATAGAGTTTTCTGAGCTCCCCATCTTTGACCTCAAAACGGGACCTCAGCATTCCAGGCCTTGGGTTTCTCCCTGGGTAGGAATTGAACAAAAGCTCATCAGAATGAATCTGTAAGGCTAGAGTGGTCTGGGAGAGGGGTCAAGGGACTTCAGACGTTACCCACCTGGCTGGCTGACCAGAGCAGGAGGTGAAGCGAGGGGTGTGACAGCGTGTCCCAGAGATGGTGGCAGGTAATGGTGTGTGTGGAGACACATGCCTGTGGCCTGGGGGGCTAGATGGGGGAGACTCGGCACATTTGGGGAGCCATCTTCCTTGGCCTGAGCTACACCTGTTGGGACACCAGGAACCTGAGAAAAGATAAGAGACTGTGGGGAAGACCAGCCATGCTCTTTGGTTCCATAACTCCGTGACTCCATGACTCCCTCCCACTGTTAGGGACAGCTGCCAGGAGTGCTAGGGGAGGGAGGGCAAGGAGGGGAACTTCTCGGAAAAAAACCCTACAACTTGCTTCACCTCACTGCGTCCCAGGTTGGAGTCCCTCCTTTCCCACCTCCCACCTGATATTCAGAGCTTTTGACTATCTTATGCATGGTTTATTCCTCTGGCTTGGATGACAATACCCATAGTCACTTTTTAAAAATATAGCTATAGATCAAAACAATGCAGCAGTGGGTCTGAGGCCTCTGGTCCATGGGTGCCTCTGGGAGGCACAGATATGCACACACCCAGCAAGGACTTGTGTTCAAGCACAGAACAGATGTGATCAACTATCCTGCCTTTATAACACGTTTGGCATTGTAGAATTTTATTTAGCTTTGCCTTGAATGAAATAAAAATTATGTTTAATAGAAATGGCTTGGGGTTTCCATCTTTGACTTATTGAGAGTTGGGTTCTCGTTTTATTGCTTGCCAGCTGTAACTGGGACAAGTTCCTTTACTTCCCTGAGCCCCAGTCTCCATGTCTAAAATATTACCTGCCTAGGTAGGATCACACATGGAAAATGTCGAAGAATGTGTGGCCTGTTCCCAGGCATTCAAGTTATATTAGTGCTGATTCCTTCTCTGGAGAAGCTGGAAAGCCAATCTTTTAATACTGGCATCCTTGGCAGGCCTCCCTGGACTGCTGACCTTGGTAATGATCCCAGTACCACTAAATGCCATCGCATCCCCTTCCCTGGGCCCCCTGCCCCAGGATAACATCTGGAAACAGCTGAAATTGGCTTCAAATGAACAAGGACAGCCTTGGAGAGGAAGAGCACTGGACAAATACCGCCTGGTGACATGAGCACCCTGGGCTGTGCTTGGCTGGTCCCTCCAGCCGGCTGTTCTAGGGCACAGGCTATATGGTGGTAGGGGAGGAAAGGAGTTTTGGCTTATTATACCTCAGGAACGACCCTACCCATGCCCATTTCATATCATCGATCTCAAATGAGCATGGATTACTCAGGCACTCCTGCCTTCAGAAGAGTTTCTGGAACTGGGGATATGTATGAACGTCTTCAGGCCAGCAAGAGTGGAGTCTACTATGCCTATTTCCTCTCACACCTGAAACCGTTTGATCAGCAAATCTCAACAGTTCTATGTTCCAAACAGGTCCTGAACTCAGTCACCTGCGAGGCCGTCATCGGTGTGATCTGGAAGCCGGCCCATGCGCTCTCACCCGGATTCCCTCAGCACCTTCCCTCCCTGCTCTGCCTACTTCTGCCCAAGCCCGTCCTCAGTCTGGTCTCTTGAGTGGTCCCTTCAAAACAAAACGAGATGATGTCATCTGTGCTTCCAGACAAGACAGAGACTTGGGGACCGTGTACCTCTGAACCTCAAACACCTACGGAAGTGGAGAGACTAGACGATACTGTGGCTTTCAGATGTAGGACCCCAGGGATGGGAGGACGGTGATTCCTGAAAGGGACAGACAAGTGAGGTAGCCCTCCTCGGTAGGCCGAATGCACAGCCTGAAGAGGATTTCCAGGCTGCGGTGCAGGGAGGGAACCCGCCTATGGCCGGCGACTCTCTGAGTTGATGAGAAACTGGAAGGTGAAGGCAATTAGCATTCCCAGGGCCTGACACCGGCCCAGGGTCCTCGCGAGTCTTCAGCTGACTCCGGTAGTGCGTGTGGGAGGAGACCACGTGACGCCGGAAGCGCCACCGGAAGAGCATGGCGGGGGCATCCGAGGGCTGACAGGGCAGCCTTTCGCCTAGGGCTGATCTCGCGGCCCTCCTGAGGCAGCCCCCTTTGAACACCCTGCCCGTGGGAACGAATGAGACAAAGTTGGTGGCGGTGTTCCTACTCTGGGCCTGGTGTGGGCGCCGGGGACTGGTCTGGCCACCCCTCTCTGGCGGCTCTTCTTCAGCTTCGGGTAGTTTCCTCACGCTCGCGTGTCTCTGGGAGCAGGGAAGAAGCTGCGGAGTTCCCTCTGCGGGTCCCCCGAATTCTCCCTGTGAAGCTCGCTGTGCCCCGGGACTTGGAAGGTGAGCCCTTCCGGCCTTCTGGCCCCGTCTCTGGTGTTGCCAGCCTCTCTGTCCCGTCCTGTCACAGATGGTGGGGCGCGTGGCATGTTTGTCTGCCCTTAGATCACTTCCCCGGGCTGCCTCGTGTCCTGGGTCCGAAAGCCCTTCTGACCCCAGTTTTTGAGTTGTTTCAGACGGGAGAGTGAATTTACTCTCCATCTTCTGTCGGGAGAGATTGATGAAACTTCCAGTCGCATAGAAACCTGGACACACGTGTTTGTAGAAGCTTCGTTTGTCACCGCCGAAAAAGGAAACACCCTGCTTGTCCTTGAGCTGCTGAATGGCTGGACCGTCCGTCCTGTGGCTTACCTCTCGGTAGTAAAAAGCTCTGTGTGCCCGTATGGATGCATGATGCTGAGTGAAAGAAGGCAGACTGGAGAAAGTACCTACTGTATTGTCCCACTTCTGTGCTGTCCTGGGAAAGGCAGCGCTATAGGGACGCAAAACAGATGAGTGGTTGATGGGGGCTGGAGGAGGGCATGGGGAAGGCTCTAAAGGGCAAGAGAGGCTTTTGGAGGGTGACGGAGCTGTGGTTGCTTGCTTGTCCATGGTTGTCAAAATTGGTAGAACTCTACACTAAAGATGATGAATTTTATTGTACGTAAAGGATGTCTTAAAAAATTACAAAAAATTAGATGGTACTCTTTTTGGTCAGAACCTTCCAGTTTGTCTTACTCATTCCTCATAATAGCCCAGAAGACCCTATTATTCTGCTCCCGTTGCCCCCACCCCTTTTTTCCCCTCAAGATTTTACTTATTTATTTGAAAGACTGAGCAGGGCAGGTTGGGGAGAGAGAGGGAGGAACAGACTCCCTGCTGAGTGGGGAGCCCAATGTGGGCCTGGATCCCAGGACCCTGGGATAATGACCTGAGTGGAAGGCAGATGCTTAACCAACTGCGCCACCCAGGCACTTCCCTGTTGCCCCTTTGACATCTTCTTTTTTCTGCTGACTCATAGTCTGGTTGTTCTCCTTGCTGAGGCTCAAAACAATCAGGGGCGTCTGGGTGGCAGGGGTGCCTGGGTGGCTCAGTGGGTTAAGCCTCTGCCTTTGGCTCAGGTCATGATCTAATGGTCCTGGGATCAAGCCCCACATCAGGCTCTCTGCTCAGCAGGGAGCCTGCTTCTCCACCTCTCTCTCTGCCTGCCTCTCTGCCTCCTTGTGATCTCTCTCTCTGTCAAATAAATAAATAAAATCTTAAAAAAAAAAACAACAGTCAGCCTCCTTTGGTCTCAGGACCTTT